CCCCTCTGTCTCAGCTTCCCCCGCCCACATACCTCTTTGGAGCACCAGGCACACTTGGGGTGGATCAGCAGGCACTCTTCACAAGACGTGGCACTCCCTCGAGTGCATTCGTTGAGACCTTCAAAGCAAGATAAAGGTGCACCAATGAGTCCCTGGCCATAATCCCTGTGGAGGAGGCCTTTGAAAGGGATGGGAGGAGGGGTCACTTCCTTTCTGAACAGGGGCCTGGGTAAGGCTGCTGGGTGCAGGCCCTAGTGCTAACTGCAGGTTAAAGCTCAGGGGCTGAATATAAACACTGACATTTTGAAGCACCCACTGAGCGGGCACACCTGTGTGAGCAATTCCCATTTCTTCTGCTGGACCACTTGGATTTCCACCCCCTTCCCCACAACACAGCAGTTCTCCCTCACTGAGGGGAACAGGCCCCTTTACATTTAGTTCAGTCAAAATGACAAAAAAAGGAGTACAAAAAAGGAAAGAAAAAAGAACAGATGAGTCTCCTTCAGGCATAAGAAAAAAAAAATCCTAGCCCAGCCGGGTGCGGCTCAGAGGCTGAGCATCGACCTAGGACCCAGGAGATCGCGGTTCGATTCCCAGTCAGGGCACATGCCCGGGCTGCGGGCTCGATCTCCAGTCGGGGGTGTGTAGGAGGCAGCCGATCAATGACTCTCTCATCATTTATGTTTCAATCTCTCTCTCTCCCTCTCCCTTCCTCTTTCTGAAATCAATAAAGATATGTTCAAAAAAAAAAAATCCTAAATCCGGCGCTGTGACACCAAACCCACAGTACACCGAAAGAAGCCAGCACAGCCCTTCGAGAAGGTAGCCCAGGAATACAATGCTGGGCTAAGATAAAGAGAATCCATTAATTCAATACATCACTAGTAGGTCAAATAAGACAAGCCATATCATCACCTCAGCAGGTAACGAAAAGGCATCTGATCAAATTCAAAAGCCCATCCCCCTTAAAACAAAATCAGGAACTAAGATTAGAAGGAAGCTTCTTTACTGTAAAAGTTATTTATTTCAAACCCAGGCCACCTCCCCCCAATACCTCCCATGGTGTTGAGGTTAATCCATTGTCCCCTCTCCTCCCTCCACCCCAGCGCCCTAACTCACCCCCCTTCTCACACTCTNGGTGAAACTTATCCCTTCCTTTCCCTTCCTCTCTGAAGCATCAGGACAGACTTCTTTTGACCAAGAGCAGAACTTGACGGTTCTTCTCCAATGAAAATGACTCTTATTTGGTCCCCACAACACTGACAGACAGACCCACTGGTCTCTCCTGGTTGCTGCCTAGAGGCATGACGGACAGAATAAGAAAAACCCAGGGCTACCAGCCATAGGAAAAAAGGGCTCAGAAAATCAGGTGTGTGGGGGGGGGGAGTCAAAAAGACGAAAAGGGGAACGTGGAAGAGAGGACACGGGAGGTGGAAATAGTCCCGTCTCCACTAAACACCATAACAACATTTACTGTAAGGCATCCTGAAACTCTAACATTTCCCTAATGTGTTCATTTTAATTTCCTGCTTCTCCTTTGTCACTAGAAGTAAAAACCCACAGAAACTGGGAGAAACGGGAAGCGAACTGTGTGGCCCCAAGGGACACTCGAGGGATAGAATGGTAGCTGGATAGAAGGGGGGAGGAACTGGCAGGACATGAGCTGCTGGGAAGAAAGGAAGGGTGGCTTTGAGGGTGAAAACAATGGTTTCACCAGCCACAGACCCCAACCCTGAGCCCTGGGCCCCTCATCCCCACCAGCCAGCACCCCGTGGGGACCCCTGCCTCACACACACACACACACACACACACACACACACACACACACACACACACACACCNCCGTGGGGACCCCTGCCTCACACACACACACACACACACACACACACACACACACACACACACACACACACACACACGGAGCTGGCATTGCTCTGTCACCATCGCACTGCCAGGCCTGCAGCAGGGCCCCCTGGGTGCGGTGCTGGACTCAGAACACCCTTTCCAGGAAAGACAAGCTGGGACCAACCATGGTGCAAAACCATGTTTGAACAGGAAGAGCCAGACACTGGCCAAGGAAATCTTAGAATCCTGCCTGCCTCCTGCTTGCGGTGACTTTTAAATACACACTTGCGCCTTTGAAAAAGAGAATGCATGCAGGGTAAGTTTCAAAATGCCAGTTTCATTTTTTGTTCCAATCCCCTTACCTGTCAGGAACCACCACCTGGGGGTGGTAATCAAATCTAGGAGGAAAGTGACTTTCCTCCTGTTCTCCCCTCAGCTCGTCAAATACACACTCGAGCAAACCATGTGCTTTGGTGTATAAGATTGTTTCCATGAAATCACGGAACTACAGAACCTTGGAGCTAAAAATGTTTTAAGATGAGCTAGTCAAGTCACCTCAATTTATAGATGAAAACATGAGAAATAAGATTGACTTGAAACCAGGAGTCCAGTCTACAGGAAGAGGTCAGAGGTGGTGCTGGCCAGCAAGTGCCCACGTGGGGCACCTGCCTGGTGGTCCCAGCACCATCCCAGACTCAAAGCCACATGACCGGTGAGTTCCAGTGTCCTCTGGAAGAGATCTCCAATGGGCCTCTGGTCAGAAAGAAACCTGAGATCGGATATCTCACTTATGTCTCTACACCCAATCCATATAAATTCACAAATACCACTTTCTAGTTAGGAGGGCCTCATCACTGAGCTCTGGGAACTGTGGG